TTCTCACCATGTTTGGAGATGTAAACAGCCAGCTGAAGAGTGTCACTCAGAATGTTGGCCAAATGGCAGCAACAATGGAACGTGAAGCTATTGCCCAAGAGAAAGCAATGGAGGAAGATCCTAGACAGAAGTTTAAAGAGAAAGCTATCAATGAATTATCAAGGCTTGGATTCACTGGGACTGAAATCGTGAATGCTGCCAGCATATTTGCCAAAGCTCCAGAAGAAATGCATATGATGCTTGCACTCCCGCAGAATCTGAGGAGGGAGTATGTTAAGAAAACGCTTGGTAAGTTAAATTCATGCACTATCTGATGTTAAGTGATAGTTATGTGCTGTTATCTTGTTCTTTCTCTCTTAAAAAGAATAGTCTGAGCAATACTAAACTGTTATATGTCATACCTTTGTTGAACAAATCCCATGTGATGCGACTGAACTTGCTTGTATATATTCCAATAACTAGGCCATGCACATTGATTTATGTCAGAAATGTCCAACACTACCATTTCAGTTTTTATTGTTTATTGTTAGGCAGATTTCATGTGTGTTGTCATGAACAGATGAAATCCAACTTGCTATTACAATATCCTTCTTAGATCTGGGGCATTCAAGATTTGTTTTTCATGGCAAATCATATATGCAAAGCTTCTACATTTGCAATTCTTCAGAACTACAACATGTCTTGTTTAGAGAAATGACAAATTTTTGTTGGTCCAATGATGTGCTAGATGATGCAATTAGAAGATAAGGATCTGCTACTACTGGTGGTGATGAGGAGCTGATGATGTGGATAATGCAATTAGAAGATGAGGGACTGCTGGTACTTGTGGTGATGATGAGCTGATGTGGTACCAGATGGATATCACATGAAAAATGTTATTGCTACTTTTCAACAATGAGAAAATGATCTGTTTTGTTGGCTATTAATTATGCATGTGTTAATACATTTTTTGCTGATGACCCCATTTATGGAGTTAGCTTGAATTTGTTCAAATATTTATCTATTAAGATCCATCAGAAAAAATCTGTTACCTATGATATATGACATGGACATGCCAGCCATGTACTAATGCTATATTGTGTAATCCCAATACATGGGTCAACCAAACGCTGCACTGTATTCAGAATGCATACCTTTATTCAACCAAACAGAAGACGTGTTCACTCAATACACCATCTAATACAGTGCAGTCTGAATACAAAGCTGAATACGTGTTTGTGGTGATTGCCATTCTGCATACAAATACTTGTCCCTCGTCTCCGGAAGAAACCACAAGTTTCATCATTTTCATAAGGCGGATTGTTTATGTGCTGGTTATTGGCGATGGATCAATAAATTATTTTTTTATTCTCCAATAATGCATCATAACATTGATATAATCATCTAGCATTGCCTAGACAACGGAAGTTTAGCATGTCTTGAGGTTTCCTTCTATAGCTAGATTATTCTATCTGATTGCCCTGGCAGCATGTTTACTTACACCAAAACATGTAAACAAGGCAAACAATCCTGTCACGGTGATTATAAGGTCGGCACCAGTTTCTCATTCAGAATCACGGGATCTGTGGGTAATATTGTGGTGATGCATTTCAGCTTGCAGTATCCTTCTAAAATGAAGCTCGCGGCATCCCATTTTTCATTTGCGGAGGCTGCATTTTCACAACATTGATAAATTTTCCATAGATTCTATTCATTTTCGTCAGGAGTAAAGATGAGATTCTTCACAATGTAAGTTGGAATCGGCACTGTTTTTACTCTTCTGGATTTGTTTTGTTTACTTAAGCTCTTATATTAATTTTTTTATCGCTTCAGCGAACTCAAGATCAAGAATGTGTTGCTCATCACTCATTGACCTTTTGTTTCCACCCTATGGACGTTCATCCAAGTGTTATCTTGAAAATTCCATTGTTGCACCCTGAAAGGAAAATTTGAGTGACATTTTCAGGAGTAGAGAGCGGAATCCGTAGAGGGCCCAGTAGTGATATTGTTGAATCTATTACTTCCAGTAGTGTTATTACGTCACTAAAGAGATGTTACCTGGACCTGATCGAACTTACAATCCTAAGGTGGGATTGTCCACTTTGTACGGCATTGACAGTGAAATTGATCCACAGATCAAACACTTCAATTCTTTACTTGCAGCCTTGCAGGAGAATAAAACGATGTGAAGTGTCCAAGACTGTCGTTCAAATGTGATATTCAACAGGAGTCAGGCGATAATTCCATTGCTGTTATTTAAAACATGTCTCACAGTTTTACCCTTTTGTGTGTGTAGTAATAAACATGCACTTAGAGCATCTATAGTCGGGCAATCCAAACACCCCTCATACGTCCGAGCGGACGTTCCGGTCAGTGACCGGTCATAAAAAAGCGACCCAGGCGGGCGTCTCAAACGAGCCTCAAACGTACGTTTGGGCTGACCGGCACCTCTCATATTCAGCCAAAATCTAGGGTGGATATGGGGCGCCTGGGCGTGTCCGCCACGTCGGATCCGGACCACGTTGGCTCACCCCACCCCACATATAGTTCTCCCCATCCGCTGCTCGGACCAAACCCTAGTCACTTTACTCCACTCCCCTCAACCACCCAAACTCCCATCCGGCGATCTCCGACCTTCTCCGGCATGGCGGCCAGCGAATCCGACGACGACCAGTACAGATCCATCGACTATGGTGTCGTCCCGTGCGGTTTGAAGGAGGCAATGGTCGTCCGCATTGCACTCCGCCGCTCCCGGGAGGACAATGCCCGACCAACGACGGGATCTGTCCGGCGCGAGTCCATTGCGATGGCACATCAGGCGCTCGGATCCTTCGGCGCTGGATCATCCTGGTCCTCTCGGGAGCCTTCTTTCAATCTCCCTTTCCCCATCACCGGTTCGTCGGAGTATGAGTCCTACCAGGACCGGTGTGCCTGCCGTGAAAAGGAGAGGATGAGGGCAGTCAAGGCCCGCCTCAATGCCTGCATGGCGGTAGCGGAGGCGGCTGATGCGGCGACATGGGCGGCTCCAGAGGAGGAAGCCATTTGCGCCCGCATTGTAAAGAAGCAGAAACGGAGAAACACGCACACCCTCGCCCAAGAGCAAAATCGGGCGGTCTGTGCCATGGCCGGACTGCCCACCAAGAAGGACAACGACACGTCAGACAGCTCCGGTGATGAGTAGATCCGACTCGATCCGTACTACGTCTTCGACCGCTACTTCCGCGAGAAGGACGGCAAGGGCGCTGGGAAGGGCAAGGGCAGTTGTGAATGATCCTCTTCATAGCTAACATGTAGGTTAAACATGCCAATTTTTGGTAGTCCGATGGCAATGTCCTGATGTAGTAGCCGAACGATGTGTGTACTGCATCATTTACATAGTTGCATGAGTTTGTATTGATTTGAGGTATGTTAAATTGAGGTGTCCAATTGTGAGAAGGAAAAATTAAGGCGTGACCAGTTAGTGTCCGGGGACGCGCCCGAGCGCGTCCGCGAGCGTTTGAGAGGCCAGATTTGCTAAGTCTGTTTGTAGATGCTCTTAGGCTGTATTGTCACTTATACGTTGACTGCAGTCATTACTTTTCTTCTCAACTGGTCGCTCCAAATATCTAAGAAAAAATGAACTAATGTTTGGCAAATATTGGGGTGAAGTTTTTAGAGACTATCTTCGATGCAGATTAACCCTAGCCGCCACTCCATTTCCTTCCCCTTTCACCGCTGCAAGGGTGCGCTGCTTGCGGCGGCAGGGAGGCTGCTGATCGTGGGAGCCTGATATGGAGGATTCGGTGGCTTGCTGTGGGTTGGCAACGGGGATGTGTGACCGAGTTGCAGTCTCCAGCAGGCAATGTTCGATGACGGCGTTGGTGTTCCAGCGTAGCGATCTTCAGCGAAGGTCTGGCCTGGCTAGGCATCGGAGAAGAGGAGTTCGGTGCATGGTCCTGGACGGCGAGCTCGACATCAATCTCAGACCTGGCGTGCAGCGGCATGGGTGTCGTGTTTCGTTTGGGGAAGCGAGAAGATGGCGTTGCTACAGTGTAGGAATAATGTTCTCCCCGCCCTTTCCATCTGCCCCGTTGGTGTGCTCATCACCGGCGGAGGGCGTGTGGAGTCGTGTTTCTAGCGGGTCTTTCGAGATCTGGGTGATTTGGTTTTCAGTGGATCCATCTGGATTCGGCTGGCTTTTGTGGCCTTCAAAGTTTCTACACGCTCTTATTGGTGTATTCTTCTCCGTGGCGGCTATTTGCTTGTAGATCGCAGTCGATGGCGTCTTCCCGGCCGCCGCTTCTACGAGCTCCCGGGTTCAAACAAATTTGCTCCACTGAGGGGGAGGTCTGGTGGCAACATCGAGCTATGCGCACAGCGCGCCGCCGGCGAATGCAGGCGGAAGAAGACTTCGACACTCTCAAGGATTTGAATGTAATTTCATTTTTCTGTATGGGTGTGTAAGCACCTGTGGTACTTTTTTTTGGCCCTTTCGAAAAAAGAAGAAGAAAACCTGCATATACGAAATGTTAGAATTGGTCGGTCCGGGGTCCAAGTTGGTGCACCAATTTAAACACCAGCATACACGGAAGTGCAGCCACATGTCGCCGTGGAAACGAGCAAGTGCCCGGGAAAGTGTTATCAATTCTCTTGTCTATGGCATCTCAAAAAAAAAAAAAAAAACCCTCATGTCCATGGATCTTTTCGCCTGGTCCAACTAAAGGAGGGAGCATCAATAGGCAAAGCCCATTAGAAATTGACACAGCTCGCTCTTGTCCATTCCGAGGTGAGGATCTCGACTCGTGGAACATGATGTTAGCCTTGATTCCATCGTCCCTCCACACCAAGATGCCCCCCTCCCTGCCGTTTGGGCTTTTCCTCCTCGTCTCCCCCCATACAAGTCAGATCATAAACCTAGTGATTAACATCCTACAAATACTCCTTCGACTCTTCCTCTTCTCCCACTCTACAAATATAACCCTCCCCCTCCCTCTCTCTCTCTCACACACACAAACACACTCATAGCTAGACAGGCCATAAACATGGAGGCCACCGCACTTGTGCTCCTCCCTCACAGCCACAGTGGCCTCACGGCCAGAGCACCGCCTTGCGTGGGTGGAAGCTCCGCGATGAAGAGGAGCTACGTGAGGAGGATCAAGCGGAGCTCCACGGTGCGAGGGGTCATGGCGAGGCCACAAGAGGCGACGCTAGCTCGGGTCCCGGCGCCGGCGCCAACAAGGCCGGTGAGAGAGACGGCCGCGGCCACGACGACGACGAAGACGGTGTACCACGACACCTGGTTCGACAACCTGGCCATCGGCTACCTCTCCCGGAAACTTCAAGAAGCTTCTGGTTCGTGCTCGTATACACATATTTGCCAGCTTTGGGAATGGAATGATCCATCCTTCATGTCGTTTTACCCTACCCATGTGAGTTTCTGCTGCATGTGAAGAGACATAGTTTCATTATAGCGAATAAACCAGTGTTACTTTTAGCTTTCATTAATGTTAACGGAGCCCTATTCTGATGATAACCAAAGCCGCCACGGTTTCTTCTTTCTTGGCTCGCCCTCACGATCTTTGCCTCGACTAGGAAGATGGCCGCCCGTGTGGCTCAGACATTTGTGTCCCACGCGGCCACACGTATTTGTGGAAGGTCTTTTTCTTTTTCAGATGGGAGGTGGTCGGATCTAGGGAGTATATAAAAGTCGCTAGGTCGACAAAAGAAAAGTTCGTGGTTAAGTTGGGAAAAAAAATGATCGTAAAAAAATGTCGAATTAAAAATGAGTAATTTGAGGTTAGATGCTTCACAAGAATAAAATGGGCATTTCCCAGATGCTTCTTTTCGTCGTTAGCTGATGGCCTTGCCTCCTGACGGGTGCTACTATGGTCCATTTTTGTCAGCATAGGCCGATTAATTTAACTTAGTTAGCCAATAGTTGATGATTAATCAACGTTGATCACGTAATGCCATGCTTGGCTTGGTGCTTTCGTCCGTACGTGGCACGGCAAATTTTCTACCATTGCGGTATGTATATCTGTATATGTACAATCATATATATAAATATTAACGGAATAGCTTCGTTTTTTGGCCAAGAAGCCATATGTGGTAGTATTATGCATCTCCGTTTATGTCGCCCGGCTGGGTAGGACTTAGGCCCCACATCACCACATGCATGTATATATAATGTGAGAGAAGAAAATTCACTCGAGATTAGTGATGACAGGATAAAAGGAAAAATATCAGACGATCAAACCAATTTCATAATATGTTGAAGAGCTTAGCTACGCGATCGAGCCAGTAGCATATATACTTGCAAAACAAGCGCAAGTGCGTATCAGCATATATAGCCAGGCAACTACGAGTGGCCATAACTTGCCGATCGTATAACAATAAGAATGTGAGGCGCACACTCTAGGAATCTTTCAGTGGTGAGCCTGTCCTTTTTGTTCTTCTTCTTCTTCACACGATACTACCTAGTGGTAATGGAGAAGTCAAACATCATGTAGCCTCTAGGAGTTAGCCACTTAGTTAGTGTGTCTACTATGTGGCAGCTGTAAATTCCTTCTGGCACTGATCAGATTTTTCGACCCGAATTACATCCCGTATCTATGACGTACCCCTGTTTGATTTTTATATTTTTTTCCCCCTCTAGACTAGAGTAAAGCGTCGGTGTTAGTCTGCTGTTGTGCACTATAGTTTTCTACAGTAATACAGTTTATTTAGATGTGGTGCAAATTAAGGATGGTCAACACTTGCTGTCTGGCCTGAACATATCATGCATGTATGACAGGGATAAAGAACGGAAAACATGGCTACCAAGGATTAATAGAGGCCGCTGTGGCAATCTCCAGAATCTTCAGGCTCGACACGCAGTGCGAGGTTGTGGCCGGCGCTCTCGAACGAGCAATGCCAAGCTACATCGTCACAATGGCAAGTACACGCCCCAGCCCCATGCATAATTAACTTTATAACCGTATTCAGCAGGCTATGTCATCCCACCAGTGTTTTTCTCAATAAAAACAAAATTACAAAAAAAATGCCTCTACTTTTTACCTGGATTTGGTTTGACAGAACTCTGTTTGGGCAGATAAAGGTGATGATGCCACCTTCAAAATTTTCCAGGGAGTACTTTGCTGCCTTCACCACCATATTCTTCCCTTGGCTGGTTGGACCATGTGAGGTACTATATCAACAGATTTTCTCTCGATGACATGTTCTTGCTCCATGTACTCCCTCCGTCCCAAAATTATTGTCTTAGATTTGTCTAGATACAGATGTATCTAATACTAAAACGTGACTTGATACATCCGTATCTAGACAAATCTAAGACAAGAATTTTGGGACGGAGGGAGTAGTAAATATGTAATATCAGTTCATAATATAAGTAGCCTGCCCTCAATGAGGGCATCATCATTCAAAGAAAGACTCCATGCTAGTGCTTCTGGTGAGCCCTGCCCAAAATGAACCGATATAAAGCCACATGCCAAGTTGATAAATATTGCAAAAGTGGTCGGAATATACAAGACATTTATAGTACATATATTAATATTTCTTTAATGCAGTCCCACATGGAATACACTCCCCACTTTGGATAAGTTTTCTGAGTGATCATTATTATGTCATTGAACAAGGTCAGGGAATCTGAGGTCGATGGAACGAGAGAGAAGAATGTGGTGTACATCCCCAAATGCAGGTAACTCAATCATAACCGAGGAACTGTTCCGCTGAACAGCTAATGCTAAGGAAAATAAATGCAAGAAAACAAATTGTGGAATGAGTTAAACTAGGTTGAATATAAGGTGTCCCAAATATATTGGTCCAAACGGTTGCTCTAAGCATTCATAGGTGCAAAAACAATTAACTTATTTTGATATAAACAGTGCATGATTCTTCACCCATTGATTGAATGAATTTATTGCAGTATGTCCATCTTATAAGTAAATCCACTTGAAAGAAAAGGCAAGAAAGTACTAAGGCTGACATGCCACTTGTACTGTCCATGTCGCAATTGTGGCAGACTGATGTTCCTACTCACACTCCACAAACTGCCTATGCGAATAGATGAAAAATATCTTCTGAAAATAAGAAATGAAAAGTAAGAGGCCAATGCAACATACCAATACTACCCATGCTTGAGACACTATCCCAATTAACACCGACATAAGGAAAATATTTACTAAGGTGCAGAGTGCAGACATACCAACAAATCTTGACATAAGTGGTGCTTATCTGTCTTAATTTGTTATCTTACTCGGCGACAGGTTTCTGGAAAGCACCAACTGTGTCGGTATGTGCACCAACCTTTGCAAGATCCCATCCCAGAAGTTTATGCAAGATTCGCTCGGAGTTTCTGTGTACATGTCACCCAGTAAGCTTCCTTTGCTCTGATCCACGATAGGCTATCCTGAACAGTGAGTATATTAGTGGGTACGCAACAACTGAAATATAATCGGTTCGAATACAAGTGAAATGATAAAATTAATATTCCGGCCCTCTGAGCAAGAGATTAATGGATTATCACTTAAGATATTGAAACCTGAAAGTGTATCTGAACTACCCTGGTCAGTGACCAAATTATAATGCAAGTGTAACAGTATACTACTAATGTTGACTTCAGTGAACTTAGAATGACATCTTTCCACTTTAAGTAGTGCTATAATAGGTCCCTAGCCACCCAAATGTTTAGACTAGCCCTTGAAGGGAAATGTTAACTCAAAGCATCCATGATATCAAGATTCTCATATGAATAATACAGAACTCGATACTTATAAGACCTTGCCATCTATACCTAGGTTCTTTACCTTTTTTTGGTTATGGGAACCACAGGCCACCATTTGAGGAACAAAGAGGGTTGGAGTGGGACCAACGTGTTTGCAGGTCACACATTAATTGCAAGTGTTGGACAGAAATAGGGCTAGAGGAAGGGGGGCTGGCAGACAAGTTGTACTGTCTATTCCAACTGTTCCACAACCCAGGACTAGACAAACACAGTATAGGCACCTTCGCTTTAAAGTGCAGGGCCATCATGTTTCAAATATCAGAGCAATATGGTTCAGTCTCACTTATGAGAAGCACTTGCGAGTGTTGGTTCTTCCAGGGTGATTCGCTGTATATTTCAGCTGCAACAATCATTATTTCTAGGTCATACGATGTTGATATTTTACGACGGCAGTCCACCCAACTAGGATCAACTTGAGTTGGGATATGCAAGGCATGATTCTCCTTTTGTGCTTTAAAGTACATAGCTCCAGGGGCAGCCAGTGAATGTTGCTTACTGCCACTACAAAAGTGCTAATTGTCTTACCCCTTGGGGCTTCACTCCTGTATATTACAATGGAGCGCTTCCAACTCCATGTCTGATGCCCACAAAACCAAATAATCTATTCTTTCTTTATCTACTTTCTTTTATTTGGAATAAGTTCAAACAAGCCTTTAAGGACGTTACTAGTTAATTAAGAGGAAATAGAATATTACGTACTTATGTCAATCATATTGTTGCTATTCAGATTTTGAAGACATGAGCTGCGAGATGATCTTTGGACAGCAACCTCCTGAAGATGACCCAGCACTGAAGCAGCCCTGCTTCAGCACAAAATGTATGGAAGTCCCCAAATGAGACATTCAACATACTCAACAAATATTCTTCTTTAAGTTCTTATGCTTTTTGACTTTTATGCAGGTATCGCGAAGCAGGACTATGGTGTGAGTTGCTAGCATACTTGATCAGATAGAAATCATTAATGATTAAACACTCATGAAATATCAGTGAAATGCCCACAGCTCCATAGTTGTATTTTTCTTGAGAAACTTGCAGAAGGCATTTTTAATACATTCACTATTACGTCAAATTGTTACCCAGAGTGGTCTAAGATGAAATGAAGAGCAGCGGAAATCATCATATCACTCAGAGCAAGAAATATGTAACATACTAACATCACTTGGTGGATCATGTTGTATACTTATAGGATGCGTATAGCTGTTCGGTAAACACTTACCTGGTGATGTGCGTCCACATCAAGTACGGACCAGTAACAGAAGAAATTAGTTCAGATCGTTGGTTCAATCTTTGTAAGAACAAGACAAAGTCTGCTCGGACTGTGAAGGTTAAACGAGTGTAATCATCTGAGCTCTGGCAAAGCAATCCAAGACGAGACAATCCAGGACAAGGCTACAATTTGGTAGATGGCAAGAGCAAAATGATCGAGGGAGTTGTGTGCATCACTGAAAGCGCAAGTTTCAACATGAAGGCCTTCATAATACTACTCCATTTTGCTGTTTCTTTAGTTTCTTGTAGTTTACTAGCTTATCTCGTCTATCTGGCACAAAGTCTCTTGTTCACAACCTTGTAAAATTTCAAGCCATCTTAATAGGAATCTATTACAATTCTCAGCTAAGGTTTGGTGTTTCAGAATAGGTTATTGGCTTTATCTTTTAGTTTCATATATTATTTGATCTCTGTTTTGAAGAGCAGCATATCTTATCTCTTACATAATCGAATTTGTTAGAGGCTTTATGTGAAGACAGGACCTCATACATTTAGGTCCAGCAAGAAATAAATAGAGAAGTGCGCCCAAACCTTGCAGGACTCAGAGCCCTGCGTTACGGCGATGGAAGAGCCTAGTCACACGATCGATTGAGGACGAGCTCTCCAACTATCCTCTTGTGCACCAACACAAAAAGAAGGGCAACGCGGAAAGCAAGCTTTATTTCGGGGATGTGAAGGTTATCTATCTTACTTGATACAACTCCGTTATTATTCAGAAATTTCTTGTTTCTGTCAGTAGTCTGGAGTTAATTACGTTTTTTACACTGTTCACTCACTCATACACATGCTCAGATCACACCTGCACAGAGTGTAGCTAGAGGCAAAAAATAACATGAGGGCATCACTTTGCACTTATTGTGATACATTTTAGCCCAGAGCTTCTGACAGTACATTATGCAATCACATAAGATCTTTTACCAGTTAATTACATACTACCTCCGTCCGGGTTTATTAGTCCCCTTGGTATTTTGGGTCCATAATTTTACTAATGAAATATAAGTTATACTCCCTCCATTCCTAAATATAAGTCTTTTTAGAGATTCTAATATGAACTACATACGGAGCAAAATGAGTGAATCTACACTCTAAACAGCGTCTATATACATCCATATGCAGTCCATATTAAAATCTCTAAAAAGACCTACATTTAGGAACGGAGGGAGTATTATGCAAAAATAGTATCATTGGAAAGTACTTTCAAATATGAACTAACAATATAACTTTAATGACATATCACTTATATTTTGCTGGTCAAATATACGGTCAAAGTATGACCCAAAATACAATGGTGACTAATAAACCCAGACGGAAGTAGTACTAGAACAGGATATTACGTCTACTTGGCAGAAAGTGCACAACATTTTCTGAATATACGAAGTTGGCAGTGGCATATATCTAAGGGAGTACCTAGAACTCATCTAGATGAGACGTAATTTGGTCTCATTCACCTGGAAAACAAGAACGGATACAACCCACGTCAGCACACACGCATCTTATAGCACCACATCCAATGGCTATAAAAGGTGAATGAGACCAAATTAAATCTCATCTAGATGAGTTCTAGCAAAACTGTATATCTAATTAATACATCAATCTCATACGTCTAAGTATCTTCTGGTATTTTGTAAAACAATCAGCCAAAAACTGGATCACACTTACAAACTCTAATATCTATTAAGGGAAATAAGTGTCTCAGAAAGGAGGGAAAATAGTTCAGCACCTTGCTAGATTGTGGGGCATATCTCCAGAGAAGTTGTTCTTGGTCCGAGAAAAAGGAAAAAGGGTTTCCACATCCTGATTCTGGAAACATTGGTAAATAAATCATGACTGACTTGACCAAAAAAGTAAAAAGTATCACAGCTTCAACATTATTACAGAAAAGAATAGTTAGGATCTACCAGCCTGAAGATGCCACTTTCTGGGACCTAGTGCACTTACAGAATATATTCACATAAAAAATTCATACAACACAACAAAGTCAAGACAAGGATAATCATCATTCAGCACTACCGACATGGCAAGCACTATTACCATGTTTTGGCTGCTGAGTTATTTCTGTGGCTTGCTTTGATAATTCTATTGGCGTTGAAACTGACACTACTCAGAACAGTTCCTGATCCCTCACTGAATGTGCCACACAATAATATGTATTTTTTATAATAACTACCAAATGAAAAACATTATCTCTTTCCCTGACACTTATTTTCCTTCAGAAGCATATAAACTTGTATGGTTACAGTAGTGCTAGTACCGCAAATGGTGCACATAGAAATTTAACATTAAGAGATGTACACTCATGTTTCTATTTATTAATATTGAATGTCACTAGAGATGCAAATAAAAAATGTTAGCATTAAAAAAGGTCCCCGGTTTCCTAATTTAAATAGTCCACAAAAGATAAATCTCCAAAAAAAATTGAGATTTAAGTTTAATGAGGGGATAAAATCATATCTCAAAGTCTGTTCTCGACATGCAGATACGGACATATGGTCACTACTCCCTCCGTCCCGAATTAGTTATCTTAGATTTGTCTAGATACAGATGTATCTAGAGTAAGACACATTTTAGTGTTAGGTACATCCGTATCTAGACAAATCTAAGACAACTAATTTGGAATGGAGGTAATAACCAGTTGCAATTTAAGAGACATGAAAGGACAGAAACCCAATAGTTCATCTTTTCATGGTATCCAGCTAAGAGATTCTAAATTGAATTTGATATCATGATACAATATGTCTGCAACTTAAAAGAATGCCATGAGCCCAAAAGGCATAAGCTCCAGAACTCCATATAGTTCCATTTCTAAATTCCTTTTCAATAGCACTGAAGGATTGTGAAATAGAATGCTAATACCAATCTTTCATTCACAGAGGTAGCTGCACAAAATTTCCTACCGAAGGGACTAAGATAGAACATCTAGCAACTCACATAGAGACGTGTGCATTCCAGTTACTTTAAAGGACAGACCCAGTGCTAATAGCTCCCACACCAGGGGGGTCTGGGGAAGGATTATACGAGGCAAGCCTTACCCCTGCACAATGCAATGCAGAGAGGCCGTGTCGGAACCAGGACCTCTTGGCACAAGTGGGGAGTACTTCACCACTGCGCCAGGCCTGTCCTTCGTGCATTCCAGTTACTTGAGAAATAAAAATAGAACAGGAAATGCCAAAGTGCAAATAAACAATAATCCCCTCATAAATCACATAAATCACTACTCCTATAAAGACGTCAATCAGTGGTGGCGGTTAATCACCTTCTGGCTCCTTTCTGCTGTGAGCCGTTAATCTATTGCAAACGTCTGAGATGGTGGTCATGCTTGCCACCAAAGTTGGAATAAAAGCAATATGTTGGGTCGTCTAACTTGATTCATCCATAGCAACGCATAGGTATTTACCTAGTATTGAAAATATTATATCTTGAGATTTTAGCATTACGACCAATCCCCCCCTTGAGTTTTTGTCCTTCAAACCACTTTTCACACTGAGTATCTTCAAAATATCACACCTGGACTAACTATTAACACTCAACACATGGTTTAGTCATGCATTTGATGCTTTTCGAGAAAATGCAAAAACGTTTGCGTTGCATTTCATTGAAAAGGAAGGGTTAATCTTATGGTCACACTCCAAGGTTTTGTTGGGTTCACAACTTATAGTTCTATCAGAGGATGCATTTGTGAATTGTAATTAAAATATAATTGAAAATCTCATGCTCAAATAGCAGTTCCAGAGTGTTGAAGCAAAGGTGCATGGCCTAACTGGTGTCACGTCAGTAGTATTTTCCACGTGTACAAATAACTGTGCTTATGGTCGGTGGTTTGAACACGAAAGTAAAACTCAACAAGGCAAAGAGCTGTAAGTTGGATGACTTGAGTATTGGTTATGCTAAAAGAACTATGAAACGTTACCATTGAATGGTAAGAATATTATACATCTAGACAATAATATCAGAGCCTGCTTTAGAACTGAGAACATGATAGATGAAATATAAACAGAGGTGAGAAAAGAGGACGATTTAACCATATTTGAGTCATACCATCCAGCATGTATTTGCAACATTTAGCCACCTTCAGTCCAGCTGCAGCCTGGTTTCGAGTCTAGCCCTCTTGACAATGATAGTCTAAGGATATTATCAGCACTATCCCTTCTCCCAAGCGAGACATAAATATCAGCAAGCATTTTATAGTTGGCCCGATTTTCTGGATCTAGGGACAAGAGATGTCTGGCAGCTGCTTCTCCAATCACCAAATTCCCAGATAAACGGGAAGCACTTAGCAATATCCCCCATAATATATGATTGTCTACACGTTCAGAAATAGTACTTTTTATCAGGTCATATGCATCAGCCAAGCGTCCAGTACGACAGAGCATATCAACAACACATGAAATATGCTCAACATCCGGCTCAAGACCATATTGCTCTTCCATGAACTTGAGCAAGTCCATTCCCTCTTCAACAAGACCTGTGTTCCTACATGCAGACAGCACGGCAAGAAAGGTGTAGCGATTCGGTTTCACTTCTGCTTTCTTCATCAGCTCAAAAAGCTGGACAACTTCAGCAGCATGTCCATTCCAGGCATATACCTGAATCATAGAAGTCCAAGAGATTACATCCTTGTCCACAATCCCACTAAAGGTGTCAAATGAATGTCTAAGATCCCCGCATCGACCATACATGGTGATGAGTGAATTAGCAATTGCCCTTTCACTCTGGAAACCTCTTTTAACGATCTGACCATGTGCTTCCATCCCCTTCTTCAGTGATGGAATCGAAGAAATCATAGGTAGGATCTCCAAGAATGTGACAGCATCTGGATCAATGCCTACCCTTTGCATTTCCACTGCAAATCCTATTGCCTTTCCCACTTCCCCAATAACTCCACAGCCTTTGATCATGGCATTCCATGCAACTATGTCATCTCTCATTGCTGCAACTCCATGTAGAAGAGCAATTGAAGAATCTAACTGTCCACACCTTGCATACATATATATCAGTGCAGTTACCAAAGATGGATCTCTATTGAATTCACTAGAATCAGCCAGCACATAGCTTTGTTCAATCCATCTTCCTTGTTCCCACTGCCCCAGCTCAGCACAGGCCGCAATGACATTAAGCAAGATGGACCTAGTGGCCGACACAGTCGAATTTGACAGCATCCAGTGGAAGAGGTTAAGAGCAGAATTGGGTCGTCCATTCCGAACAAGCCCACCAATCATCGTACTCCAAGTGATGGAATCTTTCTCCTCCATCTGACGAAACAACATCACAGCCTCCCTCAAACAGCCGGAGTAAAGATAAAGCTCCAGGAGAGAGTTGCAAACACAGACGTTAAGCTGGAAACCAGACCTAATCACAGCAGCATGCATCATATAGCAGACCTTCCAAGAACCATAGCTTGCAAACCCGGAAACCAAGCTCACCAGTGTCGCCTCAGTCGGAGACACTCCATCCACCATCCTCATCCTTACAAATAACCTGAGAGCCTCTCCCATGCAATTCGCACGGGCATAGCCAGCAATGAGGGCATTCCACACCACATCATCGCGGTGCGGCATTTCATCAAACACGTTGAGAGCGGCCTCCATGTCACCTGCTTCAGAATGCATTACGACCAGCGCCGTCCCGACCAGGAGGTCGGTCGAAAGCCCTCTGGAGCACGCTTCGCTCCCGATACGCCGGCCGAGCTCAAACTCCGACGCGCGAGCGCACGCCATCACGGCGAGGTGGTACGTGTGGCGGTCGGGCGGGCACGCCATCTCTCGGAAGACACCGACCGCCAGGCGGGGGAGGCCGAGAGCGAGGTACCCGCGGATCATGGCGTTGTAGAGGAGGGGCTTAGGCGGCGGCGCCGAGACGGGGAGCGATGCTGCCCGGGGCCGGGGAACAGCGTCGAACGCCCTGCGCGCGGCATTGGCGGCGCCGAGGCGGAAGTAGCGAGATACGAGGAGGGAGACGACGTAGCCGTTGCTGGCGAGACCCGACACTACGGCGAGGGCGTGGGGGCGGCGCACGTCGCCGGCGGTGGAGATGGAAGCGGCGAGGGCCTCTTTGAGCGCTTGGTAATGGTAAGTCGCGACGGGCATGTCTTGACAGGAAAGAAAGCAGGGGGAATACTTTCTTAGTGTCAGGGGAATGCTTATACTTTCTTAATATTTTAATTTATTGAGAAGATCATATTTCTTCCAGGAGAATACTTGTATACATGTTTCTAGTGTAATAAGGGGAATATTTAGACAAGTACTGCCGTGGGAGTTGGAAATGTGGTAACAAAAGTTTACTTTGGGGCTTCGGTGAAGGCATGGCAGTCGGAAACATGGTCATTCCAAGGAAGCAACTGGGTAAAGAAAAAAAAAGTGAAGCATAGATGTGCTACGCGGTGGAGCACATGTGTGTTTTTCGCAAAACACATGTGTGCCCCGGCAGGTGAGGCAAGGGTATGATTCATCGTGAGCGCAAAGTATGTTTCCCAGTGAAGCACAAGCTTCATGACGGAGCACAATCGTGCTCCTTTTGGTTCGGTGAAGCATATCAAACTGAAAAAAAAAACAATAGTGTAATCTTTTTTTTCTTTCGCCCCACGTTAGATGCAGAGCGCCTTGAAGATCGGCCTCGATGCGTGATGTCTGCATCATCTTGACTCTTCAAGCTATGCTAAGACGAGGGTAAGCACTTACATACAACCCCTTTATTAGTACACAAGTTGCAAACAAAGAATCGATCACCCCAGGATCGAAAAAACATGTACTCCCTCCGGTCCTTTTTAGTTCGCATATAAGATTTGACTGAAGTCAAGCCTTGTAAAATTTGACCAACTTTATAGAAAAAAGTACCAACATTCACAATCTGAAATCAATATCAATAGATGTGTCATGACTTAAAATTTCATATTGTATAACTTTAGCATGGCAGATGTTGATATTTTTTCATATAAATATGACCAAACTTTATGAAGTTTGACTTTAAAGAATTTTAATATGCAGAGTAAAAAGAACTGAAGGGAGTACAAAACAGAGCTAATCTTTCCATTTCCCAGCATGTCAAAATGCACACTCTTGGTTTCTCTTCGAGAGGAAGCCAAGAAGCTGTAGATGATGTTGAAGGTATGGAGGAAGAGGACAACCTACAACACATGTGAATGTTGTCAACGTTTTTTGTTGTAATTGAGTTGATTTTGAATAGACCTCTGCAGTGTGAATTAATTGATGTAACAAGCAGTGGATGTATGCAAATTGATAAGTGAATTAATTGAAGTAAACGTCATTCATGTCAACTATTTATTTTCTCTGCATTGTGACTTTAAATTTATCCGATATTGGCACCAATTGAATTGAAGAAAATTTGCAGCAGTTGAAAAATTCAGACAACAAGTACACTTTGAGCTATTGGCAAACAATATAGCATGATGTGTGCATCAGGAGTTCATGACACGTTCTTTTTCCTCCCTTCCTGTTGCGACAAATAAATTATGCATTGTTAAGTTGTATTTTTTTGTCGTTAGGTGGTATATGGATCTAGATGTAATTTTTACTATTTGTGGTATTTGTTGTACTGTCATGATTGAAGATGAATAGATTGAAAGTTTTTCTGCAATTTTTTTTGTAAACTTTCCTCTGGGCAGCATACGTATGTTCTTCACCTGACAAAACAAAAAATAGTAACTTGGAATAGTTCAAGCACAAAAGCAATCTTCTTGGAGGGATCGTGTGCCTGCTTTTATTCATGGAAATATTTTTAACAGGAGGGACACATGCATCAGATGAAATCATAGGAAGAGATCGAGTGGCAGATGCTTGCACAAATCAGATCCAATGCTATTGCATAAAACAAATCCCTTGCCTTAATGGATCAATTGTGATCATAAATTACACTCATTAATGGTATGATTCTAAAAATAATTAGTGATAAAATTCAGAATCTCACTCGCACTACTGGAAAACATGTCAGTGCAATACTCCTAGACACTTGCAACCAGACTACATAGCTGACAACTTGTTACTACTTATCTATTCATTTGTTTCTCTGCCTTTTCTGCTTTGCTCGGCTAAGTAAGACCACCACTGCAGAGTACTTCCTCTGCTTTGCTCTGCTAAGTTAGAGTATCAGACTGCACGCCGGAAGAACTTTCTTCTTCTCTTCCTCCTCGGACCACTTCACTTGAGCACACGTCCGTGGATATGCTACGCATGCATCACTTGTACGTCTCCATGTCCCGTCGACGAGCCATCGCAATGAGCTGAGCTTGAGCACGCCATGCTTCTTGTCTTGCTTCCAGCAGCTCATGCGGGGACTTGGTCACGTCGGAGGGGTCGATGTAAGGGTCGTTGAACTGCACGGTGTCCACCATCCGCTCCACCTTCCGCCGGGCCTCTGCTCTGCTGCGCTCGATGTCACGCCGGCAGCTGGCCTCTTCTTCGGCGGCGGCAGGGCGAGCCCAAGCCTTGGCGAGGCGAGCATTCTCGATCAGTTCGCGCATGTTGATCGGCGGCTTCGGTTGCGTCGCGCTCGCCGGAGATTCGGCGACCTGGTTCTTGGGACTTTTCGGACCCTTGCCGCTGGTGGGACACGGAAGGTTGATCTCGGCGGCGACCGCGACGCGGAGCTCGCCGCCGGGGCAGACTCCGCGTACGCGCTTCGCCGGCGGCTGCGGCTGCGATCCGTCGCGCACGGACATGGGACGCTTCGGCCTCTTGGCAGCGGCGGGGTTCGCCATCAGGGCAGGGTTCACGCGCACACGGGAAGAGCACGAGTGAAGGTCGGCGGCGGCGGCGCTACGGCGCGGGGGCAGAGACGGCGGGAGCACCGTGGTGCCGCCCATGGTCGCGGCCGTGGAATCGCGAGAGCAACAGATCAGACGCAGCGGGAGGGAGCAAGAGGACGCGGATCGTGATCCTGGGGCAAGAAGGCGAGCTCGCCGGATCGGAGGTCGGGAAGCGGGAGGGGCAAGAAAGGGTTGGAACCGGTGGTGTGGCGGCAAAGGAGTAGTAAACCGGATTCTCGATGGGGATTGAATCCGAGTTGGGCCCTGAGACGCGCTGTTGGGAACGCGCTTCGATTTTCTGCGATTTCGTCCAACAACAATTCGAACGGGCTAAGCTTCTCCAAACTCAAAGCCCAAATTAAAATCTCGAAAGCCCGTCGCGGCCCAAACCGGACACACGGCCGCCGCAGCAGAGATGGCCGCCGGAGTCAACGCCGATGGTCCTGATCCGGCCGGCACACCAGCCTCCGCCCCCAGCCGCTGAAGACGGCGCCGACTCCGAGGACCACGTGGGCTGCGGCGACAAGCCCCGGTGGCATTCTCAGCCGTGGCCGGCGACGGGAGCCACCTCGAGCCGTTCGCTGGGAGCATGCCCGCTGCGGGAGGCGAAGGGAGAGCTCCGGCGTGTTGCGGGGCACCGGCAGCGATGTTACACGGCCTCGAGCTCGGAGGTAGCCCGCCGCTCGGTAACCTCCACCACCCTGTAACTGTAAGCGCCTGTATTTGTGGCTTTTGTATTTTGTGTACAGACTACAGAAGCATACATAATTGCACATACAGAAGCATTATTCAGGACCAATTTCTTGCGAATTTACACCAGGATTGAAGAGCACAACGAGGAAAAATGGCCGGGCAATCCGATGGCGTTGGCGCAACGGACTAGCTCCTCTGCCTGTGGAAGCATTTGAGCCTCCCGTAGAGCATCACCAGGACAAGAACCACCTTCCCCTGGTCGCTCCACCACCCGGAGAAGCTGTAGGGCATGTCCTGGCAGACGCTCTGCTTCTCCGCGTGCGGCAGCCTCGCGCAGCTGTAACCGGTGGACAGTCCTACGTTCCTGTACGCGCTGCACGCACGCGTGGAAATCGATTCAGTCACAACACAAGCAGTTCCTGAAGAATTATGAGAGCACTAAAGTTTCAGAAGATTTTCATATGTTCGGCTAGTTACCTTATGACCTCGAAGATCATGTTGAATGTGGAGAAATTGAGGGGGTCGGCGGAGAGCGATCTCCTCTCGGTGATGCAGGCCAGCATTATCAGCACTGCGGTGCAGGCTAGTGGTGAAAACAGCATTTTATTCAGCGACATTCTTCTCTTGTTTGCCCCATCCTTGTGTTCTGTGATGCCCCTCTCGGCACCTTCATGCAGTGAGAGAAATGATGTCGAGGCCGGGATGCACCTGAAAATGCACAGATACTTGTTGATTGTTCTTGTGGTTGTTTGCCTGCCAACAAGAACTTTGACTGCGCGGAACTTACATCATGGCGATGAATAGTATTAAAACCGCAGGAGCGACGAGGGAGCAGTCAATGGAATTCTCCCCTGCCTGCCTTGTGTTCACCGCCATGAACAATGCGTTGGTGATCTTCTGATTGGGGGTCAGCCCCGCAAACACTGCGGATTCCCAGTTCAAGCAGCAGAAAAACGTGACGGCCACGGCTATGAGAGCAGCGACCGATGCTGCAAGGAATACTGTCTGCTTGTTAGGCAGCAAGTGGTTAGAACCCAAGGCCTTTGTGTTGTTCATCATGAACTCCAACTCTTCAGGTTTAGCTCTGGTTATTCTTAGTCCTCTCAGTGCCCATATCATCAGCCTCAGAAACACAGGAAGCAGGGTGTTGCCTGCAAGAATCTGGCCAGTGAGTAGCAGGAGGAGGCCCTGGTTTGAGGAAAAAACCGCCATGCTCTCGTTCGTCGGAATCAGCCCTCCGTTGGTGAAAGAAGAGACGGTGACTGATATCGAGAAGAGCATGGTATTGATACTTTTCCTTGTTAGCACATCTCTTGCAGTTGAAACATGTGCTACGTACAAGAACACCAATAGAGAACCTACAAGAAGAATCAAGACCATGTATGCCAACAGCACAAATCCTATGTATTTGCGGCAACTCTTCTTGAGGCTAGTGGTATTAATTGATGGTGTTGCCGGGATTGCCTCTTCTATCTGCGACTCATCTTGCACGGTAACCGATGTAACTCTACTATCTTCAGGGTCATGCTTGTTTTGCTTGCTCAACTCATGAATATGGCCAAGCAGGGAAACAAACATCTCACTTCCTAACAACATCAAGAGAGTTAGGATAACTACTTGAGAGGTAGAAAGATCCTCCATTTTGATGGTAGCTAATCCTGTAACTGTGACTGCAGATGTCGAAAGGAAAAATATATCGACATAGCGAGGACTGTAGTTAGGGTTGCTTGGCTTCAGGGCCATCAAGGCAGCAAAGCCAAGTACATCAATGACAACAAAATAGGACAAGTGAATCAAAAGTGGGCTAAGATGGAAAGCAATGAACTGAAAAATGAACACAGATGAATTGCTGATATGCCTTGCCGAACTAAGAAAAGTATGCAGCCGGACAGGCATTGGAGTTAGATAGATGGCAGTGTGCCTCTATATCTTTGATGTATGTGCCTTGATTCAGCAGGCAACTATAAGTACAAGTGAGCAATGGAAGTATATATACAGCCCGGTCAAAGTTAGTGGACAAGCAGACATGGACAATGCGGTTTGAGATGCCTTCCATATTTTCCTTTGGAAAAAAAGATACCTTTCAGAACTTAATGCTATGCATGCGGGCGTGCAGATCGAGCTTAGAAAAAGAACAGTTTGAATGCGTGGTAAATTTTTGTCCCACCATTTGCCAATTGTCATCTTTCTAACGGCAACCATGACCAGCTCACCAGAGTAGGCAAGTGAAAGTGTTGTTTACATAGAAGGCAATTTGCCAATTGCCATGCCACTAAGGCAACCTTGATCGGGTGGTGTAACAGCTCGTATGTTCTGGTTGTGGAATTTCCTGGAAGCTATGCTAAACTTTTTTTGGATGGATGTAAGAGCACCTCTGAATTTCGCGTTGTAAAGTGCAAACAAGAATGTGCATAGAGCGATTTTGGTACTTTGCCTTTGGCTCTTTCCTTGAAGATGTCCAGCAATAATGAGTCAGAAAGCGATTGCAGCTGCTATGCTACAAGGACATAGAGCATGTTTAGCTGTAATGGAACTCATGGCTAGGAAGTATTCTATGCCATGCTTCAAGGGAAATGTACAGACACAAGTGGACAAGAACCTTTCTCAGTTAGTCCCTTTGTAGTCAGTTCCCTGCTGACCATGGTACATCACAAATCCAGGATACAGTTACATCTTGATTGGTCCTAAGCTGAGGAGGTAAGATGAGTCCCGAGGTTATTTTAGTGCATGCGGCTAGGATTTCTCTACTCAAATTGGTGCTCAAATGGAGAGTGTTGCTTGATTGGCATCTTGAGGTAAAACCTGTAAATGTTACTGACTGAAGATGCTAATGGATTCACCTCACTTTGGAAGAGGACCCCAGAGAAGGTTCACTGAACTCAATAGCTTACCCCTTTGCATGATTTGGCGTTTGTTGTGACTTTGGCTTATATGATGGCCTTTCGTGTTCTGTTTGTACAATTATTTCTTCAAGTGAATCATTTGTGCGGTACTCAGACTGGATAGCGCCTCAACAAAATATACCGAGGTATTGTTCATTATTTCCATGCAGACTTTAGGCTTCGATTCCATAATCAACTAACCTTTGTTCAAAGCCATCAAGGAAACAAAACCAAGTACGTCGATGAAAAAAAATTAGGACAAGTAAATCAAAAGCAAGCTAAGATCGAAAGCAATGGACTGAAAAATAAACACAGATGAGCTGATGATATGCAGCTGGCTAGGCATTGGAGTTAAATGGAGTGGTTCGAGCTCTTTATAGTGTATGTGCCTGGCATTTACAAGTGAAATTTTACCAATGGAGTATTGGAGTATATCATCAGTTCTTAAATTTTAATCTTCAGAAAAAGATACATTTCAGAATTTAATGTTATGTCTTAGGAGCATGCACCAACATGCTCAAATGCACGGTAAAGCAGCATAGAAAGAACAGTTTGCATGTGTACTAAAATTTTCTCTCACCATTTGCCAATTGTCATTTTTCGGGTAACCATGACCACGTCACCAGATTAGCCAAGTGAAGGCTTTGCTTCCAGACGAAGACAAATTGCCAACTGCCATCCCGCCAAGAGCAACCTCGACCAGGTCACCAGAGTAGACAAGTGAAAGTGTTACTTACATATATGTAGAGAAATAATGGCACAACATCTAGTAAGTGCTACTGGTAGTGGAGTTTCCAAAAAGTTATGCCAAACTTTTATTTAATATTTAAATCGATATAAGAGCATCTCTGAATTTCACAATGCAGAAAAAAAAAAGAATTTCACAATGCAAACAAGAATGTGCAGAAGATGATTATGGAACTCTGCAGTTGGTTCTTCCCTTGAAGATGCCCAGCAGTGATGGTCAGAAAAGCGATTGTGGTGCTATAAAATAAGATGATGACACGCTGCATGTTTAGCTGTGACCGAACTCATGGCCAGGAAGTGTTCTAATGCCATGCTTCAAGGGGCATGCATAGGCCACCAGTGGACAGGAAACTTCCCTCAGTTAGTCACTTTCTAGTCTGTTGCTTGCTAGCCATGGTACATCATAAATGAGGCATGCCGTTGTTACGTCTTGATTGATCCTGAGCTGAAGAGGTAAGATGAGTCCAAAGGCTATTCTTGCGGATACGACTGGGACTTCTAATAGGGCCGACATACTCAAATGATATTTTTTCGGATGGAAAGTCATTGCTCACTGAAAATCGAGGTAAACCTGTTATTGTTATTGATATGAAGATGCTAACGAGTAGTTACTTTGGAAGAAGACACCAGACAAGGTTCAGTGAACTCAATAACCCGCAACTGAATGGCTCTATCGCTTTGCATGATTTGTGTGTTCGCTATGACTTTGCCTTCCCTGGTGGCCTTCCGTGATCTGCGTGTACAATTATTTCTTCGCATGAATTGATCATCACATGTTCACGTCCCGAAGCAATTATGCGTTAGTGCAAAACTCAGACGTGTTAGCTGGATCTTCATGCTTGCTCTGCCTGTTGACTAGAATTGTGGAACACCTTTTGAAGATCTCAACAAAATATACCAAGGTATTGCTCATTATTTTAATTCAAACTTCAGGCTTTGAGTTTCGATAATTAAGTAACTTTTTTCTAGTTTCTCCCGGAACTTCTGTGTAGTATGTACTACAATGATAGAGCAACATTAGCTGTGCTTATAAATAGGGTGTCAAGGCCCACAAGTTTTTTCTATATTGTAAATTGTGTGAAGTAATAGTGTAATACTAACCCTGCCCTAACAATAAGAATAAGAATTCAATTGTCTTTCCGCTGCAACTCTACGGAACACACGTCAAGATGCCACACGTTGATAGATAATTTCCATTGCATGCCCAACATCCACCAACATATTTTTTTTCATCCATTGATCCAGCTAGAAACCTGATTCATCTTGCAAGTACGCGACAGTTATACCAGTTTGGCACACTTGCCTTTGCAATTAGTCTTGGCCAACTGTATCATACTTTCCAGGATTTACCCGTGGACACCGCGAACACCTTAAGCCTTCCATAGAGCATGACCAAGACTAGCAGAAACTTTCCTCCGTCACTCCACCATCCAGAAAAGCTGTATGGCATGTCCTGGCAGATGATCTCTGGGTGCAGCTGATGCAGCCTAGAACAACTGTAACCAGTGGATAGCCCAACGTTGCCGTATGCACTGCAAAACAAAGCATACAAAATTAATTTCCTTATTACTGAAATGCATTCACGAGTTAGATTTTGCCATCTAAGTTAGTTTAGTGCCGTGTTTAGCTCTTGCAGACACAAAGTGCTCTGTTTATGAATTAACTTCATTCTTATGTTATGCTGCAATTGCCATTTATGTCTAGTCTACGGTACCGTTGCCTTGCTAACTTTTCTCCATCTTTAGTTAGGGAGAGTGATGTAAGGTTTTTTTTTATCACATGAAAGAATAACACACCTGATGACCTCAAATATCATGTTCAAGGTGGAGAAGTTGAGTGGATCGCTTCTGAGCCTTCTCCTTTCAGTGATGCAGGCAACTATCACAAAGATGATGTTACACCCGAGCGGTGAGAATGCCAAATTCTGCACCAACGACCCTCTCTTGCCTTTCCCTTTCGTGTTCTCATTGGTGGTTTTAGTGTCTCCACTGGGTGGTGCAAATGTTGCTGATGATGGCAAATACCTGAGACCAAGAAGTAAATTACCGCACATGAATTTGAGATTCCAAAGCCAGTAAGTTGTACCTACTTATCAAATGATTCGAAATGAAACATCAAATTAAATGAAGTGCCATGCAGTAATGAACTTACATCATGCCGATGAATAATACTACAATGGCAGGGGACATGAGCGAGCAGTCAATGGAATTCTCCCCAGAGTGCCTCGCATTCACCACCATGAAGAATGCATTGACTGTCTTCTGATAAGAGCCGAGCCCATCAAACACTGAAGAGTTCCAGTCAACAGAGCAAAACAGCGTGACCCCAGCTGCTACAATGCCGATGACCGTCGAGGAGAGAAACACAGTCGGCAACCTAGGAAGCAAATTAGCAAAATGCACTTCCTCGGGGTTCTTGGTCATGAGCCTCAGCTCCTTCACCTTTGTGAGCTTCCCCAGGAACCATACCAGTAGCCTCAGGAAGAGAGGGAATAATGTGTTGCCTGCGAGCATCTGGCCACTGAGCAGCAACAAGAGGCCTGAATTCTTTGAGAAGATGACCATGTTCTCATTTGTGGGCACGAGTCCTGCATTCGCACAGGAGGCGACGGTGACTGATAGTGAGAAGAGCACGATGTTGATCCCTTTCTTGTTCAGTGGGGCACTTGCAGTTGGCACATGAGTTATATACAGAAAAACCAGCACAAAACCCAAGACATGGATCACGGCGAAGTACCCAAAGACCACATATCCTAAGCACTTGACAGACCTACTCCTCTTCAACTCTGTACATTTCTTTGGTGGAATTGCATGAGAAGCGTCTTCAAGCTGCGACTCATCACATAGTGCCATGCTGTTGGCCAAGTCTAGCACTTCAAGCTCGACCGGAACTGAGCTGATCTTCACGCTCGGAAGATCTTGCATGTCTTGATGGTTCACTCTAAGCATGAGGCCTAAGAGTGAAACAAAGATCTCCCCTCCTACAAGCATGAGCAGTGTTAGGACCACAATCTGAGAGCTCGAGAGGTCCTCCATCTTGACGGTGCTGAGGCCAGAAACTGTTAGAGCAGAGGTTGACAAGTACAACATGTCAATATAAGGAGGGCTGAACTCAGGATTGCTTGGTTTCAGCGATATCAAGAGGACTGAACCAAGTATAGCAATGGCAAGGAAGTAGGACAGTTGGATCCAGAATGGATGAACATGCAATGCGACGAATCGATAGATGAAAACTATCGAATCAACGACATATCTACTGATACGGCTGAAGCTATGCAGCTTGATATGGATGAAATCCTGGTAAAATCTTTTCACCCGATCCATGGTGCTATGTACGAGTGTGAGAAACAAATGCATATGTCTGTGACAAGATAGGTCTCATACTGGTGCTACTTATATGTGTGCAGTGCATCATTGGCTTGGTACCATGAGCAGCTCAATCTAGTCCTAAGATTCTAGTTCTGGTTTAAATAATAATCATAGGTCGGCAAGCCCACTACAATCATTTTATTCTCAATCAATCAATACTATATTATTTCTTTGAGGTCTTTTCCAAGATAAACATTGTCACTCACAATCATACACTTAATTATGTGTGCCTTCATTCACAATAATGCATTCTTGTTTATTGGAGGTTGACGAAGCGTAATATCCACTAGCATTTCGAGTATGTCCCATGTGCAACTGCAGGAGTGTGTGGCCATACAGACCAATCAGGAGGAAGAACCTTCAATAATTGCAGGTAGTCTGTCCGTAGTCAGACTACGTCGTGCATGCCCCATGTTAGCAACTTCATGGTGTAGCAGACTAGGATCAAAGCATCTTCCATTTGCTTGGTCAAAGAGTGTAGGATATAGTAGAAGGATACATGCCAAGTTGCTGCTTTGCATAATTTGCACTAGGGTGTTCTTTCAGTTGAGCTCAGGGCAGCCGGCCGGTGAGTGATTCGTACGGTGCACATGCGTGTCCGCCTTCAATTCGCCGCTGCCAGGTCTCAGAAAATGTATCCATTGAGGCCCTTTTTATTTCTCTATTTTGGATATCACCACGCTCTGTAGTGCTCTGCTTTCAGTTTCTTGTATCAAACTGTGATGGTGGTTTTGGGTGTTGGTTTAGTAAGTTGCTTGAGATGGTTGCACATGTTTATTCGACTATTTCACGACATTACGACTTGAGCCTCCCTCTGCCAAGTTTTCTGTTAATTTTTTCTTCTTGGACGCAGATCCTGCAGGTACTGCACATGTTCTCAGGAAATTGTTCTGAAGTTGGATTGGTGATCATGCTGAGTGAAAAATCTCATTCTTCAGTTTATTCTATGATGGCGCTGATAAGTGCAGCTGTGGAAGGTTGCACTTGCATCCCACAGTACTTGGTATACCAGTCCTCAATCAAGTTGCTGTTGTTCATAGCAACACTCAGGAAGGTTAGGTTACATGGTACTGTATGAGCAGCGTAGCTTTTTTGTTACGTTACATTTCAACGAACGATTACATTTAAAAAGCAGGGCTGAACTCAGGACTGCTTGGTTTCAGCGGCATCAAGAAGACTGAACCAAGTATAGCAATGGCAAGGAAGTAGGACAGTTGGATCCAGAAGGGATGAACCGACGAACCGATAGATAAAAACTATCGATATCGACGACATATCTACTGATGCGACCGAAGCTATGCAGCCTGATATGGATGAAGTCCTGGTAAAATCTTTTCAACCTTATGTGGATGCTGCCTGGTGGCTTTATTAATTTAAAGCCGGACGCTTCTAGCATCTTCGTTCCAAAAAAAAAAACTTTTCACCCGACCCATGATATGGTATGAGTGTGAGAAACAAATGCATACATCTGTGATAAAAACAGGCCTCATACTGGTGCTACTTATATGTGTGGACTGCGTCATTAGCTTGGTATCATGAGGAGAGCAATTTAATCCTATGATTCTTGTTCTGATTTAAAAATTAATCGTAGGACGACACGTCCTCTGCAATCATGATTATTCTCAATCAATCCATAGCATGTTATTTCTTTGAGGTATTTTCCTAGGAAACCATTGTTACTCACAATCATACATTTAACTGTGTGTGCCTTGATTCACAATAATCAGAATAATGTGTTGACATTTATTGGATGTTGACGAAATGTATTATCCACTAGCATTTCGGGTATGTCCCATGTGCAACTGCAGGAGTGTGTGGCCATACAGACCAATCAGGAGGGAGAACCTTCAATAATTGCAGGTAATCTGTCCTTAGTCAGACTACGTCGTGCATGCTCCATCATGCTGTAGTAGACTAGGATCAAAGCATCTTCTGTTTGCTGGTCAAAGAGAGTAGGAGATAGGAGTACAGGCTAAGTTGCTTCCTTGCATAATTTGCACTCGAGTGTTCTTTTGAGCCAAGGGCAGGCGGTCGGTGAAGGATTGGTACGGCGCTGCCTGGTCTCGGAAATATGTATCCATTGAGGCCCTTTTTATTTCTCTATTATTGGATACCACCATGCTCTGTAGTGCTCTCTTTTCAGTTTCTCATATCAAACTGTTAGGGCGTGTTTGGTTGCCGTTGTCAACAGTTCCTGCATCGCATGCACTTCTCAACCCAGTCTGGTTGAGTAAAAACAGGCCTAATACGCCATATGCAACTTGATTGGTTGCCTGCATCCCTAGTCCCTGCATTAGGTAATACGCAAGTGCACTTTGTTTAGTTGGCTGCATTGGCCCTAGCGGCACATGAACATGGCGTTTGGTTGCATACGGCATACATGTTGTGCTTACCCTATACCCTAGTTGGTGAGCTTACCCACAATGATCACACCTAGCACACGAACGCTACAACACAGCAATGGTGACGAACTGGGCGAAGATGATGAAGTTCTTCAGCTTTAGGCCGAACTGACGATCCACCTTAGCAGCTTCCACTTTGACAGCTCCAACCTTGGCACTGTCGACACCGCTGCCTCCGTGCTTTCGCACCCAGGCGAAGTAAGCTTGTTCTGCTGCCTGCTTAGTCTTGAACACTCTATAGTTGCTCCTGCTATACGATGCCACTTGTGCATTGGCTTCTTCCCATGAACTATAAACCTCTGGAACCTCACCAATGAACACGGCATACCACTTGCCCTAGCAATGCACAAGAGCAAGAGTTGAAGCAGCAAATCAATGGAGCACACAAGTAGCAAGCAAAGTAGCACACAAACAACAATAGAGCAGAAGAGAAGAAGTAAAGCACGCATGATCATACGACATAGCAAGTTCTTCCTAGCACTACCTTGGTGTTGACCTACCACCACATCCAAAAGAGGGTGTCGTCCTACCACCGCAAGTTCACCGTCACCGTGAGGGGTTAGTATATACCACCTCACCAAAATATACAGACCATCAAATAGTTTCTGAGCCCTAGCTACACAAAATGTACGTCATCATCATTGCCACCACCACCATCGCCGTCGGGATCATGCACGCTGATACGTCTCCAACGTATCTATAATTTTTGATTGTTCCATGCTATATTATATTCTGTTTTGGACATTATTGGGCTTTATTATACACTTTTATATTATTTTTGAGACTAACCTATTAACCGGAGGCCCAGCCCAGAATTGCTGTTTTTTACCTATTTTAGGGTTTCGCAGAAAAAGAATATCAAACAGAGTCCAAACAGAATGAAACCTTCGGGAACGTGATTTTCGAAATGAACATGATCCAGAGGACTTGGAGCCTACGTCAAGACATCAACCAGGAGGCCACGAGGTAGGGGGCGCGCCTACCCCCCTGGGCGCGCCCTCCACCCTCGTGCCCCCCCTGTTGCTCCATCGACGTACTCCTTCCTCCTATATATACCTACGTACCCCCAAACTACTAGATACAGAGCCAAAACCCTAATTCCACCGCTGTAACTTTCTGTATCCACGAGATCCCATCTTGGGGCCTGTTCCGGAGCTCCGCCGGAGGGGGCATCGACCACGGAGGGCTTCTACATCAACACCATAACCGTTCCGCTGAAGTGTGAGTAGTTTACCTCAGACCTACAGGTCCATAGTTATTAGCTAGATGGCTTCTTCTCTCTTTTTGGATCTCAATACAAAGTTCTCCCCCTCTCTTGTGGAGATCTATTCGATGTTATCTTCTTTTGCGGTGTGTTTGTTGAGACCGATGAATTGTGGGTTTATGATCAAGTTTATCTATGAACAATATTTGAATCTTCTCTGAATTCTTTTATGTATGATTGGTTATCTTTGCAAGTCTCTTCGAATTACCAGTTTGGTTTGGCCTACTAGACTGATCTTTCTTGCAATGGGAGAAGTGCTTAGCTTTGGGTTCAGTCTTGCGGTGTCCTTTCCCAGTGACAGTAGGGGCAGCAAGGCACGTATTGTATTGTTGCCATCGAGGATAACAAGATGGGGTTTATTTCATATTGCATGAGTTCATCCCTCTACATCATGTCATCTTGCTTAAAGCATTACTCTGTTCTCTTGAACTTAATACTCTAGATGCATGCTGGATAGCGGTCGATGTGTGGAGTAATAGTAGTAGATGCAGGCATGAGTCGGTCTACTTGTCTCGGACGTGATGCCTATATACATGATCATACCTAGATATTCTCATAACTATGCTCAATTCTATCAATTGCTCAACAGTAATTTGTTTACCCGCCGTGAATACTTATGCTCTCGAGAGAAGCCACTAGTGAAACCTATGGCCCCGGGGTCTATCTTCCATCATATTAATCTTCCAATACTTAGTTATTTCCTTTGCCTTTTATTTTACTTTGCATCTTTATCATAAAAATACCCCAAAATATTATCTTATCATATCTATCAGATCTCACTCTCGTAAGTGACCGTGTAGGGATTGACAACCCCTTATCGCGTTGGTTGCGAGGATTTATTTGTTTGTGTAGGTACGAGGGACTCGTGCGTGGCCTCCTACTGGATTGATACCTTGGTTCTCAAAAATTGAGGGAAATACTTACGCTACTCTGCTGCATCACCCTTTCCTCTTCAAGGGAAAACCAACGCAAGTGCTCAAGAGGTAGCAAGAAGGATTTCTGGCGCCGTTGTCGGGGAGGTCTACTCAAAAGTCAACATACCAAGTACCCATCACAACCCTTATCTCCCGCATTACATTATTTGCCATTTGCCTCTCGTTTTCCTCTCCCCCACTTCACCCTTGCCATTTTATTCGCCCTCTCTCTCTATCCTCCCTCTCTTTCTCTATTGGCCTCTTTTTGCCCGTTCCTCGTTTGCTTGTGTGTTTGATTGCTTGCTTGTCACGATGGTTTTACCTAGATTTGGTGATCCTCACCTTAAAAGGTTTGAAGAGATCGAAAGCAACGTCAGGAGTTTTATGGTTTTACAATTTGAGCATAAT